GCACACATGCCTCAGTTGTGGGTTTTGTTCCTAGTTGGGGAATACGGGAGGCAACCGACTGATGTTTTTGTCTCACATTGATGTTTCTCTCCTTCTCTTTCTTCCTCCCTTTCCCTTTCTCTAAAAATAAATAAATAAAATAAATAAAAAAGAAAGCACATGTCCATGTAAAAAACCTGTGCATGATTATTTAAAGCATTCTATTTGTACTAGTTCAAAACAATAAACAATCCAAATATCTACCAAGTGAATTAATAAACAAAATATGATAAAACATATAAGAAATGCTACTCCACAATAAAGAGGAATGAACCATTGGTGTCCATAACAATGCAGATTAATCTCAAAATCATGAATCTGAGTAAAAAAGCCAGACCAAAAAAAAAAGAGTATATAGTGTATGATCTATTTCTATGATATCCTAGAAAATATAATTTTATCTATAGTCACCAAAAACAGATCAGTTGTCCCCTGGGGAGGGCATGGGTGGAGAAGAAGTGGGATACTAGGATACACAAGAATATTTGGGGAGATTATAGAAATATTCATTGCCTTGATTGTGGTGACGGTTTCGCCAATGTATACTTAGATCAAATCTCATTAACTCATACACATTAAATGCATATGGTTTATTGTAGCCAGTTGTACTATAATAAAACTGTAGAAAAAATAAAACAACGAATGATAGCCAAAACGATTCTATGCCCAAACCTCATCACCAAGAAGTTCTGATGCATGGGCTGGAGCAGGCCCAGGTACCAGTATATTCTGAAAGCTCCTTCAGTGATTCTACTGTGCAGCCAGGGCTGGGAAAGACAGATAAAGATAAACCAGCTTCTTATAACCAGTAAATGCAAGAATTTCTAGGCATTTCCAGTCAAGGAAGCTATGGGCCAGATCTTATTCCTTCTTTCTTCTCTTCTCTACAAATAAAAAAAAGTATCCCACCAGTTCTCATTCCATGGTTGTGTTTGTTGGGGTTGAGTACATGTGTTGGTATCTATCTTTAACACAAGTTTTAGGAGACAATGTGCTTATCACTCGTTTTTCTTAAAGAGTTCTATGAAGGTAAAATTGACATTTTCAGATTGTATATGTTTAAGGTATGAATTGATACTTTCATACATATACATTGTGAAATGTTCAGCACAATCAATTAATGAATATATCCATCATGTCCACATAGTTAGCATTTTCTTCTCTCTCTCTCTCTCTCTCTGTGGTGAGAAAACTTAAGGTCTATATACTCTTAGCGCACTTCAAGTATATAACACAGTACTGTTAACTATAGTCACTGTGCTATACGTGAAACCTCAAGAACTTACTCACTTTTGCATAGCTGAAACTCTGTACCCTTTGCCCAGCACCACTCCATGTACCCCTGCACCCCAGCCACCGGCAGCCACCCTTCTATTCTCTGCTTCTATGTGTCGACTATTTAGAATCACATAAAAGTGAAATCAGGCAAAATTTGTCTTGTGAGCCTCAGTTATTTCACTTAGCTTACTGTCCTCCAGGTACATTCATATTTTTGCAAATGGCAAGATTTCCTTCCTTTTTCAGATTAAATAACAATCCATTAAATATTTATACAACTTTTTTAGTCATTCATTCATGGACAGACATTTGGCTTGCTTCTGTGTCTTGGTTATTGTAAATAGTGCTGCAATAAATATGGGGGTGCAGATATCTCTCTGAGATCAATTCTTGCGGATATGTATCCTGAAGTGGGGTTGCTAGATCATATGGTAGTTCTGTTTTTAATTATATTTAATCCTCACTTGAGGATATATTTATTAATTTTAGAGAGAAAGGAGGGGGAGGGAGAGAGAGAGAAAGAGAGAGAGAGAGAGCAATGTGAAAGAGAAACATCAATAGGTTGCCTCTCTTGCACACCTCAATCAGGAATTGAAACTGGAACCCAGTCATGTGCCCTGACCAGAATCCAATCGGCAACACTTTGGTGGACAGAACCATGATCCAACCAACTGAGCCACACAGCCAGGGCTATTTTTAATTTCTCGAGAAAACTCCATACTGTTTTCCATAAGGGATGCACCATTTTACATTCCTACTTACAGTGCACAAGGGTTCCAATCTCTTCACACCCTTGCCAACACTTCTTATGTTCTGGGGTTTTTTGATAATGGTCATCCTAACAAATGTGAGGTAGTAATTCATTATGGTTTTGATTTGTATTTCTTTGATGATTAATGATGTTGGGTATCTTTCCGTATATCTACTAGCTCTCTGTATGTCTTTGGAGAGATGTTTTTTGTTCCAGTCTTTTGCTCACTTTAAAATTGGGTTATTTCTTTTAACTATTGATTGGTAGAAGTTCCTTGTATGTTTTGGAAATTAACCCCTTATCAGATATATGGTTTGCAAATATACTCATCCAATCCATTGGTTGCTTTTTACCTTGGTAATTGTTTCCTTTGCTGAAACTTTTTAGTTTGATGTAGTTCCAATGGTTTCTTCTGTTGTCTGTGCTTTTGGTGTCCTGTCTATAAAATCATTATCAAGATTACTATCATACAGCTTTCCCCCTATGTTTTCTTCTAAGTTTTATAGCTTTAGGGACTTCCGCCAAGATGGAGGCGTAGGTGGATACACTTTGCTTCCTCACACAACCAAATCTAAAAACAATAAAGTTTTAACAACAATAAACACAACCAAATCACAGAAAATCGAACAATACGGAGTCCGAAAATAAAGAACCACTTGACTAAACTGGTGAGAGGGGCGAAGCCAGCAGCGGAGCGGGTCAGGGGGAAAAAAAAAAAAAACGATCCCCTCCCCCCCACCAGGGCGGAGCTGTGCGCACGCAGCTGAGGGCGTGGATCCCAGGTGCCTGGTAGCTAGGGGAAGGCCCGGTACAGCTGGCTGTCTGCTATCTCGCATTTGCTCACAGATAAACCAGTGAAGAGACGAGCATTGAGACAGACTGTGCAGGCCCCAGTGCAGGGTGGTGGGCTCGCACATTTATGCTCAGATTAACAGGTGGGGGCAAGCAGTGAGGCGGACCGGGCGAGTGGAGAGGACTGCCATTGCTCCCTCTCTGACCCTGCCCCGACATACAGCATCCCAAACCAGCGACCTGGGTGGTCCCGCCCTGGTAAACAACTAAGGCTCCGCTCCTCATACATAACAGGTACGAACAGATCAAAACATGGCTCAAGAACAACTCAGAGCCCCAGACCCAATAAATCTAAGTGATGAAAAAATAGCCAAACTTTCAGATGCACAGTTCAAAACACTGGTGATCAGGATGCTCACAGAACTGGTTGATTGTAGTCACAAATTAGAGGAACATATGAAGGCTAAACTACTTGAAATGAATGGAAATGCACAGGAAACCAATAGTAATGGAAAGGAAACTGGGACTAAAAGTTTTATAGTTTTAGGCCTTATGTTTAAGACTTTAATTCATTTTAAGTAATTTCTTGTGCTTACCATTTTTTAAATGGGAATAATCAGTGTTACTATTTCAGTCTCAGTAATTATCTTGTCCAAAGAATAAGAAGCTGCTTAGAACTCCCTGGTTTTGTTTTTCTGTGGAGACTACCCAGCTTTGGTTAAATGCTTTCCTCCCCTAATACCTGTTTATGAGGCGTTTCTCCTTGAGCAGAACATGTGCCTCAAATGCTTCCTGGTTCACAAGAGGTGACTGCTAGTAGAGGTGAGCTGTCAGCTAGGATTTCATTACCAGATCTTCTCTTTACCTATTCAACATATAGATTTATTACTGTGCTTTACAGACCTGCCTCTCCCCTGGAATTTTGTAAACCGATGAAACGTAGTAGACACTTCCTACATGAGAGCTGAATTAACCTGAATCTTGGCATGCAGAAAAGAAGTATTCAGATGGAAATATTGGGAGAAAGAATTCTCCTAATATTTCATGAAGCTCAGAGCTGTGGGGTGGCACGTGACTAAAGGTGATAAACCACATTTCTGGCTCTGGTCACTTTCTCTTAGGAAATCTTTGTGAGCTCTCAGCAGGGGAACTTCTTGAATACAAAGCCATGTGAACTTTAATAATAATGTCATAAACTATCATTATTACTATTTTAAAGTTCACATTTATGCCTGTGATAAGTACTTTGTATACATTAGCTAATGTAATTCATTTAAAGCAATTTTATGAAACAAATTAACATTAGCATTTGCAGATGAGAAAATTTAAAGGTCAAATTATGCCTGTGAAATCTCCCAGCAGGATATGGAACAGGAATTTAAACCTTATCAGATAGGATTCTGGAGAGATGGCAGGCTGGGAAGCACTAGAAATCTGCCAGCGGGATTTCCATTTATATCATTGTAGGTGCTCAATAAATATTTCTTAAGTTAAGAAAATTTGGCAACAATTAAAAAGTCAGTTCTGTGATTTTGCATATTTTTTGTTTGACCAAATTACCTCTAAAGTGTCTTCTAAAGCTTTGACTAATAGTGCAATTCGACAAAACTATATTGAGCCCTTATTATGTGCAAGATGAATAAAGGATATTTTTGGTGATAATCAGCGCTTTTTCTCCCCTAGATCAATGACGACACAAATTCACAAAAAGAAATGAACACTTTAAGTCAGTAATTTATCTACTGTCTGATTTAGCAGAAATGTTAGTTACAATCATAACCATGTCTGCTAACCCCATGAGTTCTTTGCTGAAAATACAAAGTATATAATTATATTTTCTCATTAACAAGCCCTGGCAGGATTAAATTCCCCTCCCTCCTGTTTTTCATTAACTACACCTGGCATTCTGTGTCAGGTGTGCGTACCAGAGATCGTGGTGATAAGGCCACATAGTATCGCCAGCCGGGTCAGGCATTAGTGTATGAGCCGGTCAGCAAGTGCAGCTGGTCATTTCCAGCCACTTGGATCAGCTGAGATGAGAATGTCAATTTAAATGAAAGTGTAGTTAGGGTGGTGACCCACTGTCACGAGATACAGACTTAAGACCAAGAGTTTAAAATTCAGTAATGAAAGTGCGAACACAGGATGTAAGAGTGAGAGAAGTATTTTATGGTTTATGAAACTAAAAGAGCATCATATGTCTTTAGATTAACAACTTTTTGAAGTGTAATACACAGACAGGAAAGTGAACAAATTGGAAGCATATGCCTCGATCTCACACATCTGTGTATCCAGCATCCAATCAAGAAACTGAGTACGACTAGCTCCTTGAAGTCCCTCTGTGTTTTCTTCTAGCTAGTATTGGCTGGTAACTACTTTCTGGCTTCCTTTTCCCCCAGTGTTAGTGAAATACAATTGACGCATAATACTGTGTGTACTTAAGGCATACAGTGCAATGACTTGCTATACATATAAATGTGAAATGATTACCAAAGTAACGTTAGTTAACACATACGTTACCTCACATAGTTACCTGGAGTTTTTTTTTTAAAGATCTCTCTTATCAAATTTGAGTATAAATACAGCATTTTCATAGGGTCATTATGCTGAATATTAGACCCCAGAACTTCTTCATCTTATAACTATAAATGTGTACCCTGTGACTAACACCTCCTCATCTCTCCCGGCCCCCAGCCTCTGGCAACCACCGATCTACTCTCTGTTTCTAAGAGTTCGGCACTTTTAGATTCCACATATAGGTGAGATCATCTGGTATTTATCTTTTTCTGCCTGACTTATTTCTCTTACCATGATATTTACAATATTCATCATTAATGTCACAAATAGCAGGATTTCTTCTCTTTATGGTTAATAATACTCTATTGTGTATATTTGCCATATTTTCTTTGTTCATCGCTCTGTCCACGGACACATAGATTGTTTACATGTCTTGCCTATCGTGAATAGTGCTGCAGTGAACATGGAGGTGCAGGTGTCTCTTTAAGATTCTCATTTTATTTCCTTCAGGTACACACCAAAGAGAAGGATAGCTAGGTCATATGGTAGTTTTCTTTTTTATTTTTTAGGAACCTCTATACTTTTCCCTTTTCCCATTTTGATAATAGCCATCTCACAAGTGGTTTTCATTTGCATTTCCCCAAGGACTAGTGATGTTGCTCACCCTTTCATAACCTGTTCAAATTCCTTTCTGACTTCTATCACCAAATACTAGTTTTGTCTCTTAATTTCAAATGATAGGAATCATACAATTTTTACCCTTATGTGAATTGTTATTCTCTCAACATAATGTTTGTGCAGTTTATCCATATCGTTGCATATGGTGTGGGGCCGTCATTTTCATTGCTGTATTGTACTCCATTTTGTGAATGTACTACGATTTATTATCCATCCTTTGCTTCTGAGCATTTCAAATAGTTCTCTACTTTTGATTAATACAAAAAGGAAGAGCACATATTTTAAACAGCAAAAAAACTTGATTTTATAAGGCTCCCATGGCTTGACCCAAACTTGTTCTTCCGGTTTCAAGTCATTTTCTGGATTTCACTGAATATTCCCTTCTTACTGAACTTTCTGTTGTCTAACAGAATCTCGCTGTCTAACTCTTACGCTCTTCCTGGCCTTTGAACATTATGTTATCTCTTCCTTGAATGCTTGTTTCCCACCATCTTTGCCTTAATGTGGGTAACACCCACTCTTCCTTTGACCCTCAGTTTGGATGTCCCTTCCTGCAGAAAGCAGTCCCCCTGGCCTCCAACCACTAATATAGGTTATCCTTCTGCATTGCCCATTTGCTTGAATGTGTCCCCAGAAGATTGTGGGCAGAGACTGTGTCTTCTTGTGTATACCAGGGATGTCAAACTCATTTTCACTGGGGGCCACATCAGCCTTAAGGTTGCTTTTGAAGGGTTGAAATAATTTTAGGACTGTATAAATGTAACTACTCCTTAACTTTTAAGGAGTTGAAATTACATTCAGCCCTTTGAAGGCAACCTTGAGGCTGATGTAATCCCAGGTGAAAATCAGTTTGACGCCCTTGGCATATACCATCTCCAGTGCTTAGTGTAGAGTGGACACAGGTTTGGTTGCACACATTTGTTTTTTTTCAATCTGATAAGTGTTAGTCCAGTAATAGAGAGACTAATCCATTCACTCATCATTGTAAGACTGAATACATTTTCATAGGAACAGGACACAATCTGATTAATTTTATTCCTCCTCGGTTTTAATGAATAGCAATTGAATGTGAATATTTTCAAAGGAAATTATATTTCTTTTTTAAATGTTCTCAAAACTCAGCCTTCTACATATCCTACGTTTCAGTGGTATTTTATACTTGCTGGATTAGAGAACTGGGACCGTTGCGCGAGGCCAGATTCAAAACATGCCCACAGCTCTATCCCATTTCCATGTCCTCTGGGAGGAGAAGCCAAAGAGGTGTGTTGATGGGTGGTCAGGAGTCTCCCCGCCTGAGTCTCTCTACCTTTGTTTGGATGATAGGCTGGTTGCTCCATCCCCTCTGGCCCGAGGCTGCTTTTCAGGTTTGGAGGGCTAACGCTAGTTGGAAGGTGAATATGGGCTGGGCCAGGGTGATGGTAAGGAGCACTGAGGGTATTAATTAAAAGTATAAATTCCCAGTCCTCATCCCAGTTCCACTTAATCAGAATCCCCAGGAAAGAAGATTTTCTAGGTTTTAGCCTGGTTAAGTTTTAAGAGTCCCAGGTAATTCCTATCAAGAGCAAAGCAGGGGAAATGTTTGAGAAATTTGAAGTGTTTTAGGAGCTAGAGTATAACTAGTGTTATGCTGGAGCTGGCTTGAATTGCAAATTCATTCTGCATATTTCTTCCCATCTCCATGTTTCATGACTTGTTGGTAGCTCGAAATTGGTCATAGTAGGGGTATTTAGACCACAGAAACTAGCTAATGCTACAAATTGGGGTAGTCTACCCCAGCCTCAGAGAACTGGTTGTTAAATAGTTATGAACCACTGAACAAATAAATGAAAATCCTTGCGTTCATGGAGTTCACAGTCTCATTGGGGAGATGGACGAAATAAGTAAGTGGATTTTATTAGAAGTATAGTAGAAAGGCATAAGCACTACAGAAACAAAGTTGGGGAAGACATTAGGAGTAATGGTGGTAGTCAGCATTGCAATTCTAAATCAAGTGGTCAGAAAAGACCCCACCGAAAACATAATATCTGAGCATGAATTTGAAGCAAAGGAGGGAGTGAGCCATGCATACAGCTAAGAGAAGAGTGGTCCAGGCAGAGAGGAGAGCAAGTCCAAAGGCCCCAAAACAGGAATGCTGCAAAGGGGCCTCTGGAGCTGGAGCTAAATAAGAAGAGGGTAGCATAGCAGGAGCTGAGATCCTAGATGTAGTGGGTGAAGTAGGGGCGGGGTGGATGGTCAGATCCTGTAGGACCTAGAGGGCAATTGTGAAGGCTTGAGAAAACTTAATAGGGACAGTTATGGTTTTTTTTATACAGTGAAAATATGATTTATCAAATGGTAACTTCTCAGATTCCCTGCAGAATTCAAAGATGACTTCTGCACTGCTTTCTGTAGGCTGATTTAACCTCTAGACTTGCATTGGTAGCCACTAGCCGCAGGTGGTGATTAACATTTAAATTCATTTAAACTTAAATTATTCATTTACATTAACTAAAATAAAGTAAAATTAAGAATTCAGTTTCTCAGTTACAGTGGCCACATTTGAAGTGCTTAAAAGCCTTATGGGGCTAATAGCTACCATTTTGGACATGCAAATATAGAACATGCCCATCATCACCGAAGATTCTATTGGACAGGACTGCTGTAGACAGCGAACCTTGCTGAGGTTCGTTACCCATAGGCTGGGCCCTGGTCCTTAGCCTTTTACGGATGGTGTGTTCGCCATAGCAGACCTTGTGACAAGGACACCTTGGTGCAGGCATCCTGGAGCCATTTGATTTCTCCTCAGATTGTAAGTTTCTATTTCAGGACCTCATTTCTGAAAGTAGCTTTACATAAAACCTGTAATCTTCTCTAGGACATCCTGCAGTTCATTTATATATTCATAAAAAGTGAGTGGTCACTGGCTATTACCTTGCTTGTATAACCTGTTGTTGTGAAGAGAAAGGATGGGGTTGATCTAAATTACTGGTCAAATGGTCCAAATTATAGCCCAGAGACTTTAATTTATTCATTTATTTATTTTGTGGTTGTTTTCAATACTAAAAAAATTCACATTAAATAGTGATTAAATCTGAGATATCAATTGCGCAGAGTCAAGAAATACAAAACAATCCCTTAATGTTTTCTGTAGGAAAGGATGCTTTGTGGGGTTAACTCGGGTGCTCCCACTCAGAGTGGGGTGTGGGGCCTTAAAACTTGGTGGTCTGACCGGGGAGTTTTCTCTCAATGGTTTTGCGGGGTGAAGGAAAAGCAGTCTCTGAGCTCCATGAAAACGGCAATTATCCTGTGACCTCCTAAGTGGGCTTACTGGAGCAGGATGGTTCTTGAGCAACTGGGAACTCATTCTTCACACTTTGCTAGAGAGGATCTTTGGGGGAACATGTGTCCCCCGGATCTAGGTGAGCATTGCTCCTTCAGGCTGAAGTGGCTTGGCTGGCACCTGTGGCTCCTTGCGGGTATTTCTCCGGGTGGAGGCCGGGTCCTGGGGCCAGAGCCATCCTCAGACCGCTCCAGCTTCCCTCAAGCAGTGATCCTTTCCCTCTTCACTCAGCCCGACACAGTCAGGAGCTCTACAGACTGGCTTTTCCTCTCCCTCCAAACGTCCCTGTGGCAAGAATCTGGAAAGTTTATTCATGTTAAAATATAAATTACTTCTCCCAAAGGTAATTTTATGGAAATTGAGCCAATCCTCTTGTTGTTTAAGACAAAGGAATAAAGCCCTAATTGTGGACTTTCAGATACCAATCAGCTAAGCATCTTCTAGTCCCTCTGAAATAACAATATACACAGTTAAGGGAACTATACATCCAGGTTGCTTGGGACAGATCAAGTTTATACCTATCGCACTTGCATATTTATTAAGTATTCTCTTTCACTCAAAATATCTGGGTAATAAATTAAATAATCACCTTATTTATAGTCCCTTTTTTGCCTAAAACCTGGAGAACAGCTGCAGGATAGAATCATCTCAAAATTATTTCCTAGAGTTGGCTTCCCCTAACAAGCTCTAGGCCTTTCCCTCCTTTTTCAAATTTCACCCTCAAATTGGAAAGCGCCAGGAGACACACTACAACGCATGGAGTATTATATTTTTTCCCCATTTGGTTATCTAATGGAGTAAATCTTAGTCCTTGAATAAAATCCCAGAGGAGCACATCTTTACCAAGCTACTCC